AGGAAGTCGACCAAGGATAGCTGTCGTGGAGGAGGAGGTCGACGTCGGGGGTGCTGGCTGTGCGGCGACCCCGACCATCTCTCCTTCGAGTGTCCCAACCGCAGCGACTCCGACGACGACGATGCTAAGGGAGGCCGTGGGAGGTCTGGCAGCCGTCGTCCTCGTTGTGGAGGAAACCAGCCGCGCAAGGAGAAGCAGTCGACCAGGACATCGACTTCGGCGAAGGACGCCGACTCCTCTGCTGGCGGCAAGGGGCGAGACGACAAGACGGCGTCATGCTCGCTGGTCGGCGTCGTGGAGCCAACCATCTCTCTGGCACCGAAGGCAGGAGAGGACTTTCAGGCGGTGGCGGCAGCCGTGCAGGCGAACCCGGCGGTGGTCCTGCTCGACAGTGGTTGCTCCCACCACCTGATGGGAACGAAGGAGGTCTTCGTCGACCTGCAGCCGAGCGGCGCTATCAGGCATGTGCGTGGCTTCAATGGGGCGCTGGAGGATGTCCAGGGCTGCGGCACCGTCGCCCTGCAAGGAGAGGCCGAGAAGCAGGTGCTCATCCCCGACGTGTTGTACGTCCCGGGTGTGCGAGCCAACCTGCTGTCGGCCGGCCAGCTGAAGGAGCATGGCGTGAAGCTGCAGGAGGACGGAGAGGGCATGTTGCTCGTCTCGGCGGCAGGGGAGGTGCTCGGGCGGGCGACGTACTCTGGGCGAGTCCTCTGCACCGACCTGCGTCCCTGCGCGACGAGGTCGACACCGCCCACGACGGAGGTGGTGGCTTTGCGGGCGATCGTCTCGAAGACGAAGTCGACGCCGGACCGGATGCATGCGAGGCTTGCGCATGTCAGCATGGACACCATACAGAGCTCGGCGAAGAACGAGGTCGCCATTGGGCTGGACCTGAAGTCGGCGACGGACGCCGACTCTCCGTGTGTCTCGTGCGTCGGCGGGAAACTGGCGCGATACACCTTCCCCGACCATGGCTCCGAGGCCGACGATGTGCTCGCTGTTTCGCGTGGCTGCCAAGGACGGCAGCCTGTACTTCTTGCTGCTGAAGGACCGCAAGACCCGCTACGTGTGGGTGAAGCCGGTCGCCAAGAAGTCCCATGCGTTGCAGGCGTTCGTGCAGTGGCTGGCGGTGGCTGAGCGGCAGACGAAGAAGTCGGTGTTGATGCTGCGTTCTGACCGGGGAGGGGAGTTCCTCGGGAAGCAGTTCACCGACTTCGTGAACGGCAAGGGGATCGTCCACGACCTGACCTGCCCATACACCCCGCAGCAGAACGGCATGGCGGAGCGGGAGATGAGGACAGTGGTGGAGTCGGTGCGGACAATGCTGCTACACATGGGTGTGCAGCACCACTGGTGGCACCTCGCTCTGCGGCAGGCCGTCTGGGTCCGCAACTGCCTTGAGAGGTCGACGCTGCCGCCGGGGACGACGCCGTACCAGCTGCTGACTGGGAAGAAGCCCAGCTTGTTGCTGGCGCGGGTGTGGGGCTGCATGGCGCAGTTCCTTATCCCTGAGCAGCAGCGTGGTGGGAAGCTGAAGCCGAAGGCCAAGTGGGGCCTGCACCTTGGCGTGTCGGCGGCGAGCAAGGGCTGGGAGCTCCTTGACGTCGTCACTGACCGTGTGGTCACGACGTCGGACGTGGTGTTTTACGAGGAGATGTCAATGGCCGAGTGGAGGACAGCGCATGGGCCGGTGTCCGGCCGCTCATCGTCCACCCCGCCCTCTGACCCCTCGTTGGCGACGCTACCACTGCTTGCCGAGGTTGGTGAGCTTGCTACTGCGGACGTCGAGGACGTCCGCACCTCTACCCCTCACCCTCTGACCCCTGCCCCTCCCCTCGTGGCCGACCTGCGCGGGCTGACACCGGTGTCGGTCTCCGGCGATGAGGGGAGTAGTGGGACGCCGCCTTCGGCGTCAGCCAAGTGCATCGCCGGTGGCCGACGTGACGAGCGGCGAATCGACGTGGGATTGCAGTTGAAAGGGGAGCAGCAGGTCGAGGAGCAGCAGCCGATAAGGGAGGAGGCTGCCGTGAAGCCGACCACGGAGCAGTCGGCGACCGCGACGTCGGCTGGGGAGCCGACCACAGGGGAGAAGTCGGCTGGGAAGCCGACCACGGTGGAGCAGTCGGCTGGGACGCCGGTTGAGGAGCAGCAGGACGCCGAGGCAGCGACGACAGTGACGATGGGGTGACGCCGCGGAGGTCCAGCAGGGACCACGGCGTTCAGGCCGACTTCGGAGGCCGCCTGACTTCTTCGTCCCCGCTGCATTCACCACGGTATATGACGTGGACGATGACGACGACCTGCTGTACGACGACGCAGAGGAGGATGAGGAGTTTCCGGAGCTCGACCCCGACATGCTAGCCGACCCCGAGCACTGTTGGGACATCTCGACGATGACGGTGAAGGAGGCGTTGGCGAGCTGGAAGGGCCCGGCGGTGAAGGCTTCCATGGAGGCGGAGATTCGCAGCCTCATCAACATGGGCACTTGGGAGCTGGTCGAACGCCCGCCGGGGGTGAACGTCATGAAGAACCGGTGGGTGTTGACGACGAAGTACCACATCGACGACACCGTCGAGCGAGAGAAGGCGAGGCTGGTCGTGAAGGGCTTCACACAGGTGTACGGCGCCGACTACGACGAGACGTTCGCGCCGGTGAGCAGCTATGTCACGCTGAGGATCTTCCTCAGCATCGTCGCTGTCCTCAACCTCAACCTGATGCAGCTCGACATGAAGAACGCCTTCCTGCAGAGCAAGCTCGATCGTGTGCTGTACATGTCTCAACCGGACTACTTCAACGACGGAACCGGCCGGGTGTGTAAGCTGATGAAGAGCCTGTACGAGCTGAAGCAGTCGCCGCTGTTGTGGTACTTGGCGCTCAACGATGTGCTGGTCGGCGCCGGGTGGAAGAAGAGCCAGGTCGACGAGGCTCTTTACTACAAAGTCGGCGAGGGTGGAGTAGCTTGCTGGGTGCTGGTCTACGTCGACGACCTGCTTGCCGCCAGCAGTAGCGCCGCGCTGCTGAAGGAGCTGAAGGAGCTGCTGGAAGCCGCCTTCGAGCTGCGCGAGTTCTCGCCTGTGCAGAAGTACCTCGGGCTGGAGATCGTGCGCGACAGGTCGGCGGGGAAGCTGTGGCTGCACCAGCAGGGCTACGCCGACAAGCTGCGTAGGCGCTTCCTCGACGAGGAACAGACCGGGCGCACCCCGAAGATACCGGTCTCGGTCGGTGCCTACGCCGAGCTCACCTTCGATGACGAGGAGGCGCAAGAACGGCAGGAGGAGGAGTACCGGCAGAAGGTCGGCTCGCTGTAGTTCGCGGCGACGACAACGAGGCCGGACGTTGCCTTCGCCTGCAGCAAGGTGGGGAGTGGCCTCACGGTGAGGAGCGACCAGCACTGGCGCGAGGTCGACCGCTGCCTCGCTTACCTTGCCAACACACGTGACACCGCCCTGGAGTTTGGCGGTGGACCTGAGTCGCTGGAGCTAGTTGGCTACGTGAACGCTGATGACGCCAGTGACAAGCAGAACAGGATGAGCACGGGTGGCTACGTGTTCGTCTACGGAATGGCTGCAGTCTCCTGGTCGAGCCAGCGCATCAAGTGCGCGACACTGTCGTCGACCGAGTCGGAGTACGTAGCGGCCACTGAAGCTGGCAAGGATGGACGTCGCCTTCGCTTCCTCCTCGCAGAGTTCCGGCAGCTGGATGCGGGGAAGCCAACTGTCCTGCGTGTGGACAACAAGTCGGCCATCACGGTCGCCGAAGGCATGGGGTTGACAGGCAACCTCAAGCACATGGAACGGCGACAGGCCTGGCTGCAGCACATGGTGAGGCGCGGGAAGTTCTCGCTGCAGTACATCCCGACCGCTGAGCAGCCGGCCGACTTCCTGACGAAGGCGCTGCACTATCCATCCTTCAACCGGTGCTCCGTCGCAATCGGCCAAGTGCGCTTGGCCGACGTGGGCGACGGCGACAATGATGTGCAGCAGTAGGTGCCATGCCCTTTTGCATGGCTGGTGCGGTGGACGACGTGCTATGTGTTGGGTTCACGCCGACGAGCTAGTCTCCGAGCTGTACTGCCGTGTGGGCTGGGTGCCCAAGCGTGAATGCGGCAGGGGAGTGTCAACGGGAGTTGGGTATTGGCCCCGTCCTCGCTTGGGCGGAGCCGACGTCGTGGTCGGGTGCGAGGGGAGCAGCCGACCTGCAGCAGTGGATGAGCTGGTCGACGAGGGAGTCCACCTCTACTGGGGACCACTGCACGGGCGCCGACTTTAGGGTGGCGCCGACTTCAGGGAGGTCGACTTGGGAGTCGACCTGCGGAAAATTGGGGTGGCCGATGTGGGTGGTCGGCCGACGACAATTCTGGTCGACGAGGAGCAGGTCGACCGGGAGTACTGGTCGACGTAAAGTTGGTCGACCAGAGGGGACGTCGACCTGGAGGAGGTCAACGTGGAGGTGGTCGTCGACTTGGGAGGTCGATGGGCACGTACGGTCAACATGGTTGCCCGGTCGACTAGGTTACCTGGGAGTGCGACGGTCTCCCAGGCGAAGTTGGCGAGACCGACCTCGGTGGTGGTATCCCGAGGTCGTCGTGGCGGATCAGAGGTGACTGGACTCTACATGCCAATCATCTGCGCACACCTGTGAAGCAGGTGCACTGCTGTCCTGCAACATTGGCACCCCATCGACCGTGCCTTGCTGGAGTGCGGTCGAACAAGTCGTGCTGGAACGCGGTCGACCAAGCTGCGCTGGCAGTTGGCCGACCTGAATGCTTGCTCTAATGTAGTCTTGCTATGCCAACTTCATTGTACCATTGTTCTAAACTTTTCCTAGTGAAACTCTTGCCAATTTTCCCCGTGAACTAGCAAGTAGTGTGCGCACAAGGAAAACGACTAAGGAACAGAGAACGCAAAGATCACTCGAGCACACGTGCCTAGCCCGCAGCCTAGCTCCCGTTGCTGTAGTTATCTTCGCAACACCTGACTCGACGCAGCTACCGGGGCAGACTAAGCAGGAGGAGGAGACTCAGCAGTAAGGGTGTATAGGCTCGACCCTGGCTGACGAGTGAACGTGGCCAACTGTCGGCCTGTCCGAGCACACGTGCAGTGGGTCACTCGCTGACTCACAGGAGTGAACTGGTCAACTCCTCGATCGTGTAGGTCCGCTCCACTTAGCAAGTTCGTAGAGAACGAGGGGAGGTAGAGACCAGACAGGGTGCCAAAGGGGGGTGCAGGGCACGGAAGGACAGTGGAGAAGCTAGCAAGGACAGGACCCCCAGAGGGGTTTGCCAGGGAGACTGCAACTGGCCGACTAAGCGGCGTAAGAGTGGTGCGGTCTCGAAAGAAGGAGCGGGATGCACCCGAGTCCAGGGTGAAGGTGTGGAAGGCCTGAGCGGAAGCAGTACCTGAGAGAGCAGACTCACCAGCATCTGGGGCAGCAGACGCACTGGCACCTGGGGCAATAGACGCACTAGCACCTAGAGCGGCAGCCTAATCAGCACCTAGAGCAGCAGCCTCAATGCCCGGGTCATGCGGTACACACAGGTAACAGGCACCCTCAACACTATCAGCAACAGCATACATGGCAGCAAGAATAGCATCAAAGTCAAGATCAAAGATAGCAACCCCGGCCTTGGCCATATCTCCCCAGTGAGGGATCTCTAACGCCTCAGGGAACTGGCGACGCCACGCGTCCAGCAGGCGACCAAAGCAGCGCTGGGTGGAGTGCGGACCTCCGCACTGCTCACCAGTGCGGTCGCCGGTACGGAGAACGTAGGAGCAGTGCCAAAACCCCCATTGCGCTGGCGTGCAGTGTACCACTGACGAAGCTGCTGAGGGGACATGGTCACACCACTCCGCTGCTCCTGCTGGCGCTGACCACCACCGGAGCCACTCCTCGGCGCAGAGTCGCGACTCGCTCCACCACTGCCGCCGCCGCCTCCGCCGCCTCCGCCGCCACCTCCACCTCCGCCTCCTCCACTACCTCCGCCGCCTCCGCTCCCTCTGCCACCTCCACCGCCTCCGCCGCCTCCACTGCTGCCGCCGCCGCCACCACCCCTGGCACCACTCCCACTACCACCCCCACTCCCTCCACTACCTCCACCACCACCTCCACCGCCCCCTCCAGTGCCCTTGCCCCCATTGCCCTTGCCGGTGCGGCGTCTCCCGCTCGGGGCAGACGCAGCGCCGGCCGACTCGAAACCAACGAGGTCGGCCGCAGCAGCAGAGGCGACAGAGGGCAAGAGGGGAGAGGGAGAACACCCCTCAAAGACGGGGGTGGGAGGGTCACCACGAGAGGCTCCTACAGCGACTATGCTCTTCTCTATCGCTAGGAGGGCCTTCTCGAGGAGGTCAACGGTGAGATTGGTGGGGCAAACAGAGAGGAAGTGGTCCTTGACTACACGGAGAGAGTCAGGGAGCCGGATGACTATGTAGTAGAGGATGATGTACATAGGGGGGGGGTTCTTGGCGCAGAACTCAGCAGGAAGCGCAGCGCGGTAGCGAGTGTCACGAGTGCGGAGGTGCGTAATGAGGTCAGCGACAGTGGGAAAGGCAGCAAGGTCAAGGAAGAGGAACGGAAGCATGAGGCGTCTCAGTGCTGCAGTGGCAGGGGAAGAGTAGCGTGCAACTACAGCGTCGTACAAGGTCTGAGCACTCTTGTACTGGCTAAAGTGTGCATGCTCAGTGGTCGGTAAGTGACGGCGCACAGCAAGGCGAGCAGCAGCATAACGTGTGGCCCACTGTGAGTAAACAGTGGCGTCAGCATCAGCAGTAGGGGCAGGGGAGGCACCAGAAGTGAGGTCAAACAGGGAGAGACCGTCAGCCCTATCGCACTGCAGAAAAAGCTGCAGATCATCTACCCAGACCTCAAAGTCCACCGCCTGACCCTCAGTGTCAAAGGTGAGAACGCTAAGGGAAGCCATAAAAGCAGTAAGCATGTAGTGAGGGCAGTGAGGCAGGGCATTGCAGTGGCAGAGACTGGGCTCTTACAAGGCAGGTGGGGCGATCGGGCTGCTCGGCGGCTCGGCTGATGGGCGGCTCGGCTGTAGGGTGGCTCGGCTGCTGGGCGGCTCGGCTGCTGGGCCGCTCGGCTGCTGGGCTGCTCGGCTGCAAGGCGGCTCGGCTGCTGGGTGGCTCGGCTGCTGGGCGTCTCGGCTGCAGGGCGGCTCAGCTGCTGGGCAGCTCGGCTGCTGGGCGGCTCGGCTGCTGGGTGGCTTGGCTGCAGGGCGGCTCGGCTGCAGGGCGGTGGCCACGTTGGTGACGGTGCCGAAGTGGGCGACGGGGCCGAAGTGGGGCCGTAGCAGGGCCGACGGGGCCGAAGGGGCCGTAGCGGGGCCGTAGGGGGGCCGAAGTGGGGCCGACGGGGGCTTAGCGGGGCTGTAGCGGGGCCGACGGGGCCGTAGGGGGGCCTAAGCGGGGCCGACAGGGCCGTAGCGGGGCTATAGCGGGGCCGTAGCGGGGCCGACGGGGCCTAAGTGGGGCCGTAGTGGGGCCGACGGGGCCTAAGCGGGGCCGACCGGGCCGTAGCGGGGCCGTAGCGAGGCCGTAGCGGGGCCTAAGCGGGGCCGGCGGGGCCGTAGCGGGGCCGTAGCTAGGCCGTAGCGGGGCCGATGGGGCCTAAGCGGGGCCGTAGCGAGGCCAAAGCAGGGCCTAAGTGGGGCCGACGGTGCCTAAGTAGGGCCAATGGGGCCTAAGCGTGGCCGTAGCAGTGGCCGTAGCGAGGCCTAAGCGGGGCCGGCGGGGCCGTAGCGGGGCCGACGGGGCCTAAGCGGGGCCGACGGTGCCGTAGTGAGGCCGTAGCGTGGCCTAAGCGGGGCCGACAGGGCCGTAGCGAGGCCAAAGCGGGGCCGTAACGGGGCCGACGGGGCCGTAGCGGGGCCGTAGCGGGCGGCTCGAGGGGCAGAAAGGGCGGCCAAAAGGGGGGCCACTAAGGCGTCTCGGGGCACTACTCGGGTTAGGAGGTAAGCGCGCTCCGAGCAGAGAAGGAAAAAGTACGTGGTGGGCCCTAGGCAGTATTCCCATTCGGGAACCTGCTCAATACCATGACGAGAAGTAAGAATGGATGAATCAACTATGAAAGAGTTGGGTACAAGTACTAACCCTAATTGGGTTGTACCCCACATGGGCTACCCCAATACAGCCTACAAAAATGTATAAGCTAAAAGGTTCTGACAGTCTCCGGCTCAGAGAGAGTTTCGGCTCGGACTTTCTTTTTGTGCGTCTGCACTCTGATAGAGGTGGGGAGTTTTTCTTTGCCCGTCTGGGAGCCTTCTTTCGTGCAAAGGGCATCCGCCAGACCTTCACGCTTCCAGCCTCTCCACAGCAAAATGGGATTGCTGAGCGCCGCATTGGCATGGTCATGGATGTCGCTCGTACATCCATGATCCATGCGGTTGCCCCCCATTTTCTGTGGCCATTTGCGGTTCAGTACGCAGCGCATCAGCTCAACCTTCAGCCCCGGGTCTCCTTGCCAGAGACCTCCCCCACCTTGCGGTGGACGGGGAAGGTTGGCGATTCGTCTGCGTTTCGGGTCTGGGGATCTCGGGCGTTTGTCCGCGACTTGTATGCGGACAAGCTGTCCCCCCGTGTTGTTCCCTGCGTCTTCCTTGGCTTCCCCCTTGACGCGCCTGGTTGGCAGTTATACCAGCCCACCTTGCGCCGTGTTCTATCCTCCCGGGACGTCACCTTCGACGAGTCGGTGCCTTACTACCGTCTCTTCCCCTACCGCACTGCGCCCCTCTCCCCGCCGCCGCTCTTCCTTGCGCCAAGTCCTCCCCCGATAGACCCCCTCCCCCCTTTAGGGTCTTGCCCCATCAGGTGTGTCCCAGGTAGACGAAGTCGAGCCTGTCAAGGTAGCTGTTGACTCCGGTACTGCTAGAGGTGCTGAGCGTGCAGGTGCTGGGTCTGGAGGTGCTGAGTCTGGGGGTGTTGAGACTCTGGGTGCTGAGCCTGGGGGTGCTGGGTCTGGGGGTGCTGAGCCTAGGGAGGCGGAGCCTGGTTTGGGACAAACAGCTGCCGATGATGCTAGAACCTGCGAACCAGTGGGAGATGGTGAAGGAGCGCCTTTGGTTTAGCAACTGGATACACTACCAAGTTAGCAGCCCTTTCGGACGCCAAAAAGGGTCTGAATACATGAAGGGTATGGTGGTGGGCGACTTACTATAGGAGGTGTATGAAGGAGGATGGAGAGTCAAAAGCGTGTGGGAGCTGACGAAACAAACGGGCAGATCATCAACCACGAGATGGGCGCTTCAGGCTTGGGAAGCGGTCCAGGAAGCTGGAAGGAGCAATTGTTGGAGAGAACATCTGCGACGGCAATTACTGAGGCTACAAACCTGGTGAAAGTCGGGAAAGCAGTGTCTGGGAGGTAGTACTACATAATGGTAGCGCTTACGGAAAGTAAAACCCTAAAGTGTGAAAGAGCGGAAGTGGACGGCAAGGGGATGGTCAGGCACACGGGGGTGGAGACTCAGCCGCCAAGTGTGCTAAGCATCTTAACTCCGATGGTGGTCAGGGGAGGTCAAGAAGTGGGGAAAATGGGGGACCTAGCGTGGCTAGGAACGTCTTTCCTATGTGAAGAAGGCAAACCTACAGCACAAAGGAAACTGAGACACTTGCTCAGGAAACCAACCACGCAACCCAAGCAGCACAAGAGGTGGGAGGAGACCTGGGGCTCGAGGATAGACTGGAAGAAAGTCATTGCGAAAAGGGACTTGCTGGTGATACCAGCCAAAGCGAGAGAGGTTCTACTGCACCTGCATAGTAACAATCTACAAGTGGTGAGCAGACTAGCTTTCTTCGGGTCCTGTCCATGTTGCCCATACTGTGGACAACAAGAGTCACCAACGCATTGTCTAATGAACTTTCCAATCGTAAGCGGGGTGTGTGGCGCGCTTCAGGATTCTTTGAAGCTGATCAATCCGAGACGAGTTGTGGGGACACTGGGTGAGTTGTTATTCGCTGAAGACAGCACAGCCTCTGGTTTCTCATAGGCTACACTTATTGCGATCACCTTCAAACACATCTGGCTAGAGAGGTGTGACGCGGTCTTCCGGAAGACAACTTTCGAGCCCAAACGAGTGGTCAGGAAGATAGGGGCCAATTTCATGAGACATGTGCGGATCTACAATGAAGCGGGTAGCGGTAAGGTTGGCCAAGGGGGAGTAAAAGACAAAGGGGATTGGCAATACCTGACATCAGAAGAGTTGGCGGCACTGAGCCACATTTGTGAATAGGGAGAGCAGGTGACGTGGAGCAAGGCTTTTAGATCGATATGGGAGAGGCCTAGCACCTTCTTCAAGCCACCGTAGACTGTTACAAGGATGGTCAGAGCAGGCCCAACTGGTCGGCCCGTGCCTTCCTTTTTTTACAGTTACGACTGTGGATGTATGCATTGCATTGTGTATTATGTCCCAAAAAAAAAAAAAAAACAAAAAAAAAACAACAACAACAACAAGAAAAAGGGACGTGAGGTAGGAACTGAGATCACTGGGAGAGGAAAGAGGCAATATGGGGGGTAGCTATTAAATTATGAAATAGCCGAATGATGATTGACTGGAATGGTTGGGATACAAGTAGGAAACTTTTATGTGTTGTACCCCATAGAATGTGCCCCAAGACCTTTGGTGAAAACATCAGCAGTATTGGCCTTTGAGGCCACGTAAGAAAGACGAAGCTGATACTTCTGCTGCAACTCACGTACAAGAAAGTAACCAAGGGCAATGTGCTTCGTTTTGTGCTCCAGTCTCTACTCCTGACACAAGGCAATCACGACCTTGTTGTTGACGTACAGTTTTGAAGGAGAACAAGGCCACTCACCCAAGCCGGTGAGCAGGTAGGTCAACCAACGTAACTCCTGGGCAACAATAGCTCCAGCGTAGATCTTGGCCTCACAGCCGGAGCTAAGCACAGAGACGAGCGAGTGGACCTCCACAAGATAGAGTTAGTGCCGAGACTGAAAGCATAGCCTTGTGAAGACCAGGAGCTCACCTGGTCGTCAACCCATGAAGCGACAAATTGCCATGTGAGCACAACTGGTCCCCGTCCCCCAAGCACAAGCCCCATGCCTAGTGTACTGCACAAGTAGCGCAGTACCCTTGTACCAGCCCTTTAGTTCTTAGGGCGGTGTCTCCTGGTTGCAACGTAGTGCGCCAGGATGCTGAGAGGATACAGGAGGTCAGGCCGAATGCACGTGATCAGGTACGTGAGGCAACCCACAAGCTCTAAATACGGAGTACTTGGCTCTACAGACCCGTCCAAAGGTGGAGCTGAGAGCAGGGCTCATAAGCAGAGGGGTGGGTTGTGCCTAGGAGAGCTGAATGCGGAAGCGGTGAAGGACTTGCTGCACTATGTGTGATTGAGTCAAGGTGATGGTGCGCACTGTTCTGTCCCTGGTGATCTGCAAGCCAAGATAGCTCTGCAGCTCACCCTGATCAGTGCAGGCGTGTCTCTTCTGCAACTCCGCTTTCACAAAGGCTAGTGCCTCAGTGTCAGCACTTGCAAAGACCAAGTTGTCGACAAACATGGGGATGTTGAACGGCGGCAAAGTAGAGTCGGTGCGGAGAAACAACGACGAGTCGGCAGTCGAAGGAGAAAAACCAAGAGCTGCTATTGAAGTCTTCAATTTGTCTTGCCACTCGGGGGATGCCTGACGGAGAGTGAAGACTGGCTGCTGGAGCCTCCACTGGGTACCCTCTGGAGATGATCCAGTGAAGCCAAGTGGGTGCGGAGATAACTACTACAACGGGAGCTAGACTATGGGCTAGGCACGGGTAATCGTATGATCTCTGCGTTCGTTGGTTCTTAGTCGTTTTCCTAGTGCTCAAACTGCTTGCTAATTCACGGAGCAATATTGGCAAGAGTTTCACTAGAGAAAGTAAAAAAAAAAAAGGTACAATCAAGTTGGCATGGTAAGACTACATCAGAGCTAGCATTCAGGTCGGTCGACTGCCAGCACAGCATGGTCGACCGCGTTCCAGCACGACTTGGTCAACCGCGCTCCAGCAGTGCAAAGTCGACAGCGTGCCAACGCTGCAGGTTGACGGCGTGCCAGTGTTGCTCCCGTAGAACAGCAGCGCACCTACTTCGCAGGTGCCCGTTGATGATTGGAGGGCTAAGCCTTGTCACCTGAACAGCGCACGCACCAAGTCATCTTCGTGCTGACGGCTCCACCTGATCCGCCACGTCAACCTCGGGATACCACCACCGAGGTCGGACTCGCCAGCGTTGCCTGGGCGACCGTCGCACTCCTTCGCAAAACCTTGTCACCCAGGTATCCTGGTCGACCGGTGCAGTTGTCAGCCGACCACCCAAGTCGGATACCCAAAGTCGGCATCACCAGGTCGACGCCCCTTCTACGTTGGCGCCGACTTCCAGACTGACCTCTTGAAGTCGGCAACCTCCCAAGTCGGCGACCTTGCAAGTCGGCGCCGACCACCAGTTGAAGTCGGCCGCCGACTTCCCAAGTCGGCGGCATTGCAGTGGCCCTGTGCAAGTCGACCAGCCCCGTCGACCACCTCGCCCAAGTCGGCGTCGCCCACTGCTACAAGTTGGCTGTACCTTCCGTACACCCCACCACGAAGTCGGCTCCGCCCAAGCGTGGACGGGGCCAACAAACAACTCCCGTTGACAGTGGGCGTCGCAACCAGATCTCCTCGTGAAGGCTGCTCTGCAAAAAAGCTGTGGAGAAGTCGAGCGAGTGTAGCTCGTAGTCACGCTGTGCTGCAACGTGTAGTAACACCCAAAGAGTGGTCATCTTCAATCTTCGAGATGGGGGAGAAAGTCAGGAAGAAGTCAACCCCCTGACGCTCACTAAAGCCTCATGCAACGTAATGCTCATTGAAGACGGGCGAGGAACCTGGCGGCCGCTTCACTCTGAAAATCCACATGCCCAGGAGGGGGAATGGAAGTGCATGTGAACTTCTAGGATGCCATCTCTGCATCCATAGCTGTCTAATGACATCAAGGTAACTACCAATTGCTTATTCGTTGTACCAAGTGTAAGCTCTTTGTGCAGTAACTAAAAATTCGACGTGGAACTGGTTTTACGTACCCGAATCGGCGTGATCGTTCTCACCCCCACGTTTTTTTTAAGGCTGGATTTTAGCAAGTGAATAACTCCAAGTGAAAACGGGCTCTGGTATCCACCTGTGATGATCAATAATATAGTACAGATTTTTTTTTTTTTTTTTTTTTTTTTTTAATGATCACTAGGGTACAATTCAGCAGTAGAATCGATTCGGCGGAATCACGTGTACGCAAAGTCACACGAAATAAACCGAAATGAATCACAATTCAGTGCTATATCTCCGTTTAGCAATCAACATCTACAATTCAAGCTTGGAGGTCCTTCTCATTCAAAAATCAAGATCTACAATTCAAGCTTGGGATATTCTTATTCAAGTTACTAAGCTTCTCCAATATAACTAGACTTGTTTAAAATATATCTTATCACTCCGTCTATCTTTCTTATTAAGTCCCGATTCAAGTTTCTCTGTTGTATCAAGTTTATAGAAGGCTTCCTCATTCTTATCAGGTCCCGTTTCCTTTCAAGCTTCTTTATTATTTCGTTAACCAAATCTCTAAGGAATCTTTATTAAGTTATTATTGCATTTTATTTAACACCTCTCATCTTCTTTATCAACTTCATTATATCTTTGTCTTAAAACATAAACTTTGAAAGCCTTTTCATACTCGAACAACCTTATTTCAAATACATCTTTATCTTATCATTATTGCTATACTCCACTCTTAACCCTTCTTTTTGGGTACTTTCTTTATATTTAATTGTGATTTACCATTCTCTATCTCTTGTTTTATTTTTAAGACTCGACTATTCTAGGTTAGGTAACGGCTGGGAGGTCCTATGGGGGGTAGCCTCAAATCACTGCTACCACCGTACAACAAGATTTAGATCTAACGGAGGCCATCCATGTTAGAATTATATATTATACCATACTAACAGTTGTGACTGTACACCAACTGTGGTGTACAATTAGGTTGAAACTACACCCAACATTGGGTGTAGCCTTGTATATTATCATTATGTTATACTTCACTCTTAACCCTTCTTTTTGGGTACTTTCTTTATCTTTAATTGTGATCTACCATTCTTTATCTCTTGTTTTATTTTCAAGACTCGACTATTCTAGGTTAGGCAACGGCTGGGAGGTCCTATGGGGGATAGCCTCAAATCACTGCTACCACCGTACAACAAGATTTAGATCTAACGGAAGCCATCCATGTTAGAATTATATATTGTAGCATACAAACAGTTGTGACTGTACACCAACATTGGGTGTAGCCTTGTATATTAGGGTGCCAATCCAACCCAATTGTGGTGGAGTCCACAAATGCAACCCAATGGGCCATAGGTTGCCCCACTTCCCAAAGTGAGGCCAACCCAACCCATCGGGCCATAGGTTGCCCCACTTCCCAAGTGTGGCCAACCCAACCCAATGGGCCATAGGTTGCCCCACTTCCCCAAATGTGGTCAACCCAACCCAATGGGCCATAGGTTGGCCCACTCCCCAAGTTCCACCTCCCCCCCTTTCCCTTCAAAGCTTCTCTTCCCATCTATGTGTGATTCCTCGTTACCTAATGAAACAAATGGTTCAATGTCAACGTTCACAATCCCTCCCCAATATCGCCATCCCATCTGGGAGCTTGCAGCGTCAAATGTCCGTGCTAATCGGACTTGCATACGTCAAGCCACAACTATCTTCATCAGCTGGCTTGCCGCGTTCGACATTGCACTAGCCCAATGTAACTTCGCTTTTTGTATTTGTTCCCTTTTCGTATGGGTTTGGTTGGTGCTGCTTGTTGTTTTCCCCATTCCCGTTGATTTCAGGCCACATACAGTGCCGATCTGGTTGCCACGCCTTGTGCCCACCCACGTTCTGCCGCTTTCGTTTTCCCCTTTCGCCACCCTCTACTCGGTCGACCAGTTTGCTCCCCTCGAGATTCTTCGATTTGTGCACGGTCGAAACCAATCCACGTCTTCTCCTCCTCCGTACTCGCTTCTCCTCTCAGATTCGTTTTCCTTTTCATCTGGTTGCTTGTTCATTCATCAGAACTTCTCGACACTTCTCCCAGCATCCGTAGCACTCCCGTTTGATTCCGTGCCCCACGTGAACTTTTATTTTTCTATTTCCATGTCACCCAGAGCTTGATTCCACTACTTCTTTACGTTGCGATTCGGAGTTTCATTATCTGCCCATCTCCTGCCAGGTAGTTGGAAGCGGAGCTAATCGTCACCCAACCGGTCTTTAGTGCTCGCCTTTCACCGACCCGTTTGCCCCCAACCTACCCTCACCTTCCCACCACCCCTGTTTCCTTGTTTTTGCGTGACACTCCTCCTTACTATTGTTCCCCTTTCTCCGCTCTTACCCTGCCTCCGCCTTTTGTCGTGCCCTCCCTTTCTACCCTGCCTCCCTAGGAGGTAGGATTTCTAGCGCGCATCATGTGTCCCCCCTTTTGGCTGGTCCCTTTCGGTCCATGCCTTCGAGGTTCCCTTGTTCTTTTGTCCCCAACTCCCTTCACCACTTCCTCCGCCACCTGCTCCAAAACCTTCTTACTAAGTGGCTCGAGTTGTCACCTAGGCATCTGGTAAAACTTTTGGCAAAGCTATGGCCGCCGCCTATGCCCCCTCGCCACTACGAATGGCTTGCGGTTGCCGGAGTTTCCCAGGAACGCCACACTAGCTCTAGAAACGTTGCTTCTGCTCCATTTCATTATAGCCTCCCACGTTTTAGACGTTTCAGCCCATATTCGAATCGCCACCTGCTCCTTTTCTCTATCCCCTGCTCTAACCCAAACTCCCGCCCCGGCTGCCCTCAGATCCGCCGAGCCGCCTCTCCCTTGACTTTCGAAGTTAAATACTTCATCGTGTTCAGCATTTCTCATCCCATTGCCTACTCTACTTCCGTTTATTTTCATTTTCCTCATGGCCGCCCAGATCCACAACTCGGATGATGAGATGACCCTCGTTGACAAGGACCTCCAGCTCGATAGCGAGGAACTCCACCTTGACGAGCTCCCTACTATCTCTCTTGCTTATCCCCCCTCAGCTGATGAGCCCCCGGTGGCCAAGAAGGTCTGCATCAAAGCCCCTCCACCCATGCCCGTCCCTTCGGCGCCGTCAATATGTGTCATGGCGGCTATGGCTCCTGCCCTGACCGGCAGCACCTCGAGCGCTCCCTCTGGAGCCTCTTCCCCTGCAACCGCTGCTCTTGTTCCGCCCCCTGCATTGCGCAGGCCCACCTGCCCGACTCCCCCCCGCATTGGTACTGCTCTGTGAGATGGTATTATCCTGACAGACCATGCTCCTGGTCCAGCGCCCACCCGCATCCTTCACCATCCGAGGCCCGACCCGATCATGCCCTGTCGCCACCTCTGAGTGGTCACGCTCCTTATGTCCGAGACAGGTGCGAACGCCATCCGCGCGGACCTCATCGCCCATATCACTGAGGCCGCACTTTCTTCCGCTACGGCTCCATCCCGGAGTTTGAAATTGCCATCGGTGAGGCGCTTCGGGTTCTGCGCCATGCCTACGTGCGGCTTTGCTTCTTATGGCCAACGAAGGAAGAGGCCGAGGACTTTAAGCGCCTCTTCCCCCACTCCATCCCTATGAATGCATCCAGCCCCGTGCTTCACGCGGTCTTTGAGGACTACAGCCCGGGCTTCACGGCTGCCAAAGCAGGGGGTGCCGCCACGCTGTCGCTCCGAAACATCCCCCACAGGTTATACTCCAAAGGACGTCCGTGAATTTTTGCTGCACGGCGTGGATCAATCGGAGCCGGCTTGGCTAGCAAATCTGCAGTTTTCTCACTATACTACTGACCCGAACGAAAAGGTTTCCTCCCCGTTTTCATCTGTATCTCTCTCCCCCCGCCCAGATGACAAGCTTTTCTCCTGCATCCCCGCTGTCATTCCGTTTGAGGATGACTCCCCTCCTGCCCTGCTCAACATTTCCACCCATGTGTGCGCTTTTTGTGGGAACAAACACCGTGATTCTAATCACGAGATTTTCGCCTTCAAGCGCTAGTAGCACCTGAAGAACAAGGCCCAAATATCTATTGCTCAGCTGCAGCAGACTAACGGTACGACCATGTCCCCTTGCCTCTCTGCCCGGTACCCCCCAATGCTGCTATCTGCCTTCTGCTGTCTACATTTCACCAACCCCCTTATATGTAGTTTTGCACGAGGACCCCACCCCTAGTCTCTTTGCCTTATGATGCCTTCAACATGCTCAGCTCCCTCCACCACCTCCTCGCTTGGGTATGCTCCCACATTGCTCTCGCATGAATCCTTCCCCCACTCCCTCCCCTATTCTCAGGTACATCCACTCCCTAACTTTTGTTGCCCTGAATCTTTCGTTTCTGCGCCAATCGGACCTACCCCCCGGCCCCCTAGCGCACGCCCCTACCCGACCCCCCCTGCCCTCCCCTTTAGCTTCACCTCCCCCTCTATGGCCCTGCGCCACGCTGGTTTGGATGGCTCCTACCTCACTTAACCCTCTCCCATGTATCTGTTTTCCAGTGCTTTACCCCTCTGCACTATTTCCCCTTGCCCCTTTTCAGCTCGGTATACAACCTCCCTCTGGTCGCCCTTGGTCCGCCCCTTCTACTCTTCACTGTCTCAAGCACTCCTGCCCTCCTCGCCCCTCCTTCTCCGCAAGTCCCCAACTTTTGCTAGCCCAACTTTTGCCCCTTATTTCACGCCACTCTCTCTGTGCGCCGTCCCCATGGGCCCGTCCCCTTGCTCGGCACCTCCTGCCCAATCCCCTTTCTGCCTTTTCCTTCGGTTTTGCGCAACCGCCTTCTTGCGTTGGCACGCTCTCTCCCTGTACCACCCCCTATCCCCTCCTTCCATGCCTCCCCTACCCCACCCCTCCAGCAACAAGATGGTCACCACTCTCTCACCCCCCACCTTTATTTATATGCCTCTCTTTCTGCCCCCTACCAACTCTGCCCTGTCTCGCTCCACGGCTCCCCCCCGGCACCTGTACTCTTGCTTCTCCCTCACCACATGCGCATCCGCCCCTTGATTTTTTCCCATCTTGTTCCTTTGTCCCGTGCTATCCGTTTCGGTATCCTTTCCCCTCCTCCCCCCACGGCAACCTTTTGGCCTTTGATGCTTCAACCCTTGGCCTGACTCACTCGTGACTACATCACCATTTTTCCACATCGTCCTCCCGCACCTTATTGAGTACCCCCGCCCTGCCCCCTTGGTGTCCTGCTTGCTCCTTTGTCTTATCGCCCCTCCCACTCCTTCCCCCAGGTCAAATCCTTGGGGCACTTCCTCGTTATTGGGCTCGACACCAACGTCGAGCTTTTTACCTGCGTCCTCTGCAACTTCACTTGCGTCCCTGCCCTCGACTCTACCATGGCGCATTTCGTATCCAAGGCTCACACCTCCAACCTGTGCACGACTGCCAAGGGCCGGAAAAGTACAGCAATTGGAGGGCCCTTACCTTCCTGGCTACTCTTAAACTACAAGTATGCATGCTAGGATATAGTGGGGCACATTCTATGGGGTACAACAAATTAGGGTTTCCTACTTGTATCTCATCCTTGCTAGTCAATCATCATTCCACTATTTCATAGTTTAACATTGTATCATTGAGTAGGTTAGGTCCGTACCTACTGCCCGTTCCTACTGTCCCTCACTGCTACTGTTGCTATACTGCCCCACGCTACGACGCTGCCCTGCCCTGCACGCGCGCTCTGCCCTGCCCCGCGCGCATTGCCCAGCCCCGCGCGTACTGCCCTGCCCCGCTGCCCCGCGCGCCCCGCTGCCCCGTCCACCGCTGCTGCCCGTGTGCCATGCCTACCCGTGTGCCCCCCTACAGCCGCCAGCCAGTGCGCTGCCCATGCGCCGGTGCTGCCGCCCGCATGGCGCCCGTATGCACCGCTGTCGCCCGTGCACTACACCGCATGTGCTGCCACCCTTGCGCCACTGCTGCACGTGCTCCGCTGCTGCCCATGCTCCATTTCCACCCATGCGCTACACCGCCGCCACTGCCGCCTGTGCGCCGTGCTGCCGCTGCTGACGCCCGTGCGCAGCTGCCGACCTTGCACCGCCACTGCTGCTCGTGTGCCGCTGCCGCCCGAGCGCCACTACTGTCCGTGCGCTGCTCTGCCACCACTGCCGCCCACGCGCCAACCGCGCTGTGCACTACCCACTGGCCAGCCCGCTGTCGCTAAGTCGCACTGCATCACTTACAGGTTTCTCGGACTTGTCGTGGGCCGACGACGCTGAGTCGCTGCGGTCTACACAAGGTTATTGCTTCAGCCTTGGGATCGGAGCTGTTTGGTGGAGGTCGATTCGGGCGTCGTTCGTCTCTAGTTCCAGCTGTAAGGCAGAGGTGTACGCTGTGGCCATGGCCACCGAGGACCTTCGCTGGCTGTCTTTCCTCCTCATCGACCTTGGTGAGCGGCCTGGCTCTTCCCCAGTATTGATCGCCGACAACAGGTCTGCTATCCTGTTTTGTAAGGAGCCCCGATTGGTTGGGAAGGCAAAGCACATGCATCTTCATTACTTCCTTCTGCGAGAGATGCAGCAGTATGGCCAGTCACTCATGCAAAGTGTGGTCTGTGAGGTCAACGCTGCAGATATCTTCACCAAGGCATTGCCGCCTTGTGACCACCAGCGTTTTTGCACCCAACTTGGCCTTGTCTCTACAGGTTCTCGCTTGCTTGCATAGAGATGCTTTGTCTTGTACTCTTGCATCTCACTAAAAATCACATATCTGCGCTTGTGGACAGGCCTTGTGGCCCCTAGATTTTGTAGAGATGCTTATCATGCATGCCTTGTACTCTTGCATCTCTTAAATCTTCAATATACTTGCATGTGGACTGGCTTTGTGGCCCCTTGCTTGTTCTCAGAATGTGTGGTGAGATAGAGATCCACCCCGAGCGTTGCTTTGTTCTTGTGAACTGGTCTTGTGCCTGTTACTTGTTCTTGCTGTCTGGTCCTGTAACCCTTGCTCTTAGGCTGTTTGACTGTGGGGGTGTGTCAAACTATAAGTGTTATTGTTTGTTAGTTTTGTCTAGGTTTAACATTGAGTTATGCTGTAGAGGGTATAACCCCCTTGGGGTTTGCTATATGCTCCCTTCTATTGCTTATTTCTACTCAATTCGAAATTCCGTTACCATGTTGACACCTTAATGACGTGCGTGATGTACGATGCCGTCGAGTATTCGACGCCGGCCATCCGCATGGAGGCAAGGAGACGTCGAGCTCGGTTGTAGTAGTCGGTCGCCGTCTCCTGCTCGACCACCAGCTGGTACGTCGACGTGATGAACTGCCACGCCTGATGACCGGCATCCAGGTGCCCTGATCTGGTCCGTAACGCCCTAATGCCCAAAGTGCCCCGTCACCTTAGTAGCCATGAGTGCGTCACCCGTTTTGCCACGCTCGCGTCACCCGTTTTGCCGCGTGAGTCACCCATTTTCAGCCCCGCACGTCACCCGTTTTCAGCCCCGCACATCACCCGTTTTAAGCCCCGCGTCTCACTCGTTCTGCCCCGCGCGTTGCTCGCCAGCCCGCTAGAGCATAGTAGACGCACGTAGCGCATAGTAGATGTACGAGCACAGGTCGTAGCCACCCACACAGCCGCTCGCACAGCCTGTCGGAAATTCCCTTACCTTCTCGGGATACTACCCTCCTCTCCTCCTCAACCTACCCCTGCCCTCTTCTCCTCATCCTAATTCTCTTCCCCTCTCTCCCCCATGGCTCCAGGTCTCTTGTCCCGCCCTCATTCTCTGTTCTGCTGCTCCTTTGTCTCTCTGTCCCCTACTCTACTCACTGTTCCTTGTGCTCGGTATCTCCCTGCCCCCTCCCGTGGCCTCTAGCCACCCTCGCCCTGGTCATGGGACCCTGATACTGTTGGAAACTCCCTCACCCTAGGATTCCGACTCCCTTGAGCCTTGTACCCCATCTCTCCACAGTCGTTGTGCTTTTCACTATGTCTTTCTTCCCCTGGTCTGCTAGTGCTTCACTCTTCTTTGGCGATAGCTCCGTGCCTCCCCTCGTGCCTCTGTGCCTCCCTTGCTCGAGTCACAGGACCGCTATATCTCTGCCCGCCCCTCCCTTCGCATGCGACATTAGTGATATGATCCTGGACCCTCACCCCCGCCTCACTCTCCAACAACTGGACGCTAGATTCCCTCATTTCCTACACTTTCTAGCGCTGCTGCGACAGCCCCACTTCCAAACCGTCCCTCCTTGGGCGACGCACATACACTTCCTGCCTCTGTGTCGGTGCCACTGGTGCCCCTCGGGCCCTCTGCTCCTGCCTCTGTTGGTACCGGTGAATGTCTCGCAGCTGTGCCAATCGCATGTTCACCAAAGCAGCTCGCAGCAATTGTCGCATGTAATTTCCCCTCGCCACCGCCAAAGCGGCCCACTTCTCAGGTGTCCCCGCCTGTTATAGTCACAGTAGGCTCCAATGTGCCTAAAACGAGAGATAGAGTGCATAGTCGGATTTCTGCGCAGCGGCTTCAAACGTTCATAGCGATCTGCTCACAACTCCAAATGACTTCATTCAACTTGGATCTGGAGCGCCTTAACGTCGCCTACAATAGACAATTTAGATCGCATGCTTTCATTAAGAACTGACGACAGAACTTCGGTTTGAGCGAACGGAACTATGGCAGCAACATAGTCTTAGAACACAAGATAGGAAGAGTTACGAGTTGGGAATGACTCCCAGCTCCTACAAACCCCAAGAGCCGAGGTACAGTGATGTGAAACAGTGCCACACTGCCCCCAACAACGAAGGATCTCGAAACTACCCTTCACTAGGGCCTACACCAAGTGAAATGTTACACTACACAAAGTAATGTAACTATCTTCAATATCTTGAGGTGTACCCTTTTGGCGAGCTTCGAAATCACTTGAGGCTTGACACCAAGGCTCGGGCTCTTCATCACAAACTCATCCTTGAGTTCTTGATGGGTCTGCTGCACACACCTGCGACACACCGAACGTTCGACACAGGACAAAATAGAAACCGCGCACGACAAAATAGAAACCGCGCGCGAGACACAAACGACCGCGTAACACGCGTCTAGCGATAACTCGCTATTGACTCAACACACACACTCGACATCATGACTCAACATTCGCACACAATTTTAAGCATCAAATATATATTATCCCATGCCCTCATACCATTCCATACACACACACATGCATGCACACGGACAACAAGCCGAGTGCAAACCATAGGGTTGCACCAACAAACTCCCCCTCGGATTGTTGGCCTTAGGATATGTTGCTCTCTCAGTTCAGAGCCATCCCAGCCAGCTTGCAACACTTCCAATGCTGCTGCTCCACTAGCCTCTTGGTCATCATGTCAGCCGGCTGCCCCGTGGTCTTCACGTAGCGCAACTCAACTTCACCCGCGGTTACCATGCTCCTCGTCCAATGCCACTTCACCCTCATGTGCTTCGTGAGTCCATGCAACACAGGGTTCTTAGCAAGAGCAATGGCACCCTGGCTGTCACAATACAGTGGGGTAGGTCCTTGCTGCTCCTCCCCCAATTCAGCCAACAAACGCCGCTGCCACACAATCTCCCGTACGGCACGGAAGAGTGCCATGTACTCGGACTCCACCGAGCTCAAAGCTTGGTCAACCTGCTTCTTGCTCTCCCAAGCAGTTGGGCCTCCACCAACACAGCATATGAAGC